TATATATATATATATATATATATATATATATATATATATAGTATATCCTTTAACAATTTTATGCCGAAGTAGGGTGCCGCTGACGGAAGCGAAAGTCGCTTTCTGTTTCCAGATGCTTTGAGGAAGCATGCAGTCCTCCTTTTTATTCAGAACAGTCAAACTATGGAATATCCCCTTCTTGTTTGTTTTTTCTCCCACCACGTCAAAACAACGATAAACAAACTGTACCTACTGTATATGGTTTTCCTCTACATATCCCCTTCTTACATTATCTGCAGTTCATTTATTTTACTTTAACCCTTTGATTTGTGTATTTATAAAACAAACCCCAATCTTCTTGGTGAAACAATCGATCCGCACTATTCCTCATCACATCGCAAACATTCTTGTCCTTTGATCATTTTGAATTAAAGACAAAACAACAGGAACATAATTGGTATTGGTCATCACATTGGCAATCAGCCACCTCGAATGACTTCAAATGTTCTAATAAGGTTAGCATAGTTCGTCAATTACCATCATAACCGGGAATTTCTAGTGAGTGTATTCCTAACCCTGAAGGACGTAGATACCCGAAATCAAACTTATAACTAGCGAGTCTTCAGAGGAAAATCAGCGATGAAAGCTAAGCAAGAATTTGTAGCTGTATTACTATTATCCTATATTTCACACCTATCATAGCTCACGCTGTGCACCAAACGAATCATGGTACATCAATCTGCATGAAAAGAAACGGGTCCATGATTTGCTTGGGGACGCGATATGACTATACTGCAGGTGAATTTTTCTTAGACGTTAAAAACCGGCGCCTTCTGTTCGTCAAAGCCTGACCTGTATGTATGAATACTGTGGTGCATAGGAGAGTTGAGTCCAACCCGTCGAACCAGACATTCTTTGCGTGCGATCAACACGTCCATATAGCATGTCCAATGGGCTATATCACCCGATCAAGCCCATGACCAATGTGATCAGATTATACGTCTCGTCCAACGACTTTGAAATTAGGGTTTCCAACTGCCTTAGATGCTGCCCACGGTTACTCAACCCAACTGCGGCTCCGGATATTGATTTTCCGCTCCCTTCCTTAGTGGAAACAGTCTTGTCATGAGAAAAAATGAGCAGAACTTGCTTAGCAGACTAGCAGGAAATGCACTCTACGGGAGCAGTTTTCGATCCGAGAACAAAATCTCAGAAGATGTAATGATGATGTTGATGAACAACTTCGCCTTTTACTTGTCACACACTAACAGAACACCAGAAGCACAGAAGGAAGTTTAGGCCAACTTGTACAAAAAATATGAACCAATGAGTCGGTGTTAAAAATACGATACTCGTCCATCGACCACTGAAAGGATGAACACAAACAAGTGATCACAAAAAGCAGTGACAGTTGCTTCTTGGGATGCTATCACCGGACAACGAGGTAAAAAAAGACAGTTGAGACGACAAAACTAGGCCAAGCAATAAGTGATGAGTGTTTGAGGAAAGAGGAACTGTAGCAAACTAGACGATCCATATTTCATTTGAGAAGGACCTCGCGGACTCATTGAACCGAAGAATTCCGCGCGGAAAGACAGAATGACGTAGACTGGGATGACAAACAAGGAATAGGGGGATAAATGAGACGTACTGCCAGGAGAGCCGAAACGAAGGACAAGTGACAAAATACTTGATCATATTTGTGGATTGTGCAAGAAATCAGCCCAAACAGGGACATTAGTAGTCAACACGGTGTAAGTGCAATACATTTTAATTTTAGCCTAGGATAAAAAGTAATTCGACGTAGAAAACAGCAATAAGGATGAACAGGAACCGATTCCGAAGTCAATCGCATGCCATCGAATACCGCCCTAGTTTGATCAAGTCTGAATGATCGAAATCCAGTGAATTGTTCACAGGTCTTTCTCATCCCGTGAATAACACGAACTAAAACGTCCGGAGGCCCATAGCAATGCGGCACTGGGGATATGCCAGGTCAGTAATACTTTGTCGATAAATTAGAGAAAACTGTACCTGGAAACGGTAATGGTGAATTACTTAAGTACATTTGATCTATGACACGGTAGGCGAGAAGTGACAGATATTGAAACGAACAAGACAAGCGCGGAAAAACAGGTGTTGCTCTTGTTCTTCAATGAACGAAACAGTGCCCGGACCACCCGTGAATTGTCAAACGACCGCACGCGCTTGTGAATCATGAATACAACTGTTTGCACGGTAACGTACTGGGTTGGTGCTCCTGCTGCTCCAACAGGGGGTAACCTAAATGTGATGCAATTAAAAGTGCGTGGCCATGCCCCAGCTCTCTACTGCTGTGGTATTTTCTTCACGCCAATAATTCATCGCCCACCCGTACACGCATACACGAGGGAAAAACACTGTACATGAGCGGAATAATTAACAAAGGCCACATTTCTCTAGACCAGGGGATAAAAGCGTTCACTCAATTTTTAGTTTGTGTGTGTGTATGTGAACATGAACGCACAGACGGAGCGTGCTGTGTACGGGATATCCATCCACCCCACCGTTTGGGCGTATGGAGCCCTGCAACCACGCGGCCGATCCCGTTGGGAAAGAGCAGCAACAGCAAAACGGACTCGGCGAAATAAGCTGCCACAGGCATTCATACGTATATACACGAGCTACAATCGCGTGCGTATACACACACACAGTTAGACACATGTACGTGTGGATATATAATGCGCACTCCAAAACAGTTAACCTTACCTCACCCCAACACCACACATAACAGACACACCGTACCGCGCACACAACGACCGCTTGAACGCGACAATATTGACCTTTCCGAAGCCAGACCCAATAGTGAACGAAACCTGTGTGCAATATTTTTTACCAATAGTACGCGCCTGTTTCATACCGAGAATGAATGAATACCTTATGCAACCAACCGACAAAAATGACGAGACAAATATGCACATGTATACAGGGCGAGCAACCAGGCGGTTGAGAGGATCGCGAGGAATATACACCCTGAGAACAAAATACCTAATAAGTGAGGTAGATTGATAGATAGGTAAGTATGTAAGTGCGCAGGCAGCCAGGTACGTCATATTGCTCATTTTTAGTTCGGCCTTTGGAATATAATACCGCTGCACGCAAACACACAGGAACGCATAGCGCTACAGAGGAACAGAGGGCGATAGCGACAGGTGTGTGTGTGTGTGTGACCGACTGATTGTTTGGCTAGGCGAGCGCATGGAATGAGAGAGAGAAAGTTGGCTATATGCCAAACGAAATGCTTATTAGCTCATCGATTAACTGGATCAACAGTGTGCAACTTGTAGACGGTCAGGAACAAACACGACTGCAGGTATAGGAACACACACACACACACACTA